CCATCTTTGGCTGCAGAGAACATAATCAGTCTGATTTCGGTATTGCCCATCTGGTGATGTCCATGTGTAGAGTCGCCTCTTGTGTTGTTGGAAAAGAGTGTTTGTGATGACCAGCTTGTTCTCTTGACAAAATTCTATTAGCCTTTGCCCTGCTTCGTTCTGAACTCCAAGGCCAAACTTTCCTGTTGTTCCTTTTATCTCTTGACTCCCTACTTTAGCATTCCAGTCCTGACTTAGTCTACACTATATATGTCTTCAGGGCAATCCTATTTACAGCACAGTCCACAAGTATTTAAAAGTGTTTTTAAATTTGCTTTTAACCCACATTGAGCAATATTCTAATACAAGCTAAATTTAAAATAATACATTGGTTTAAAAATAATATTTGCATGCTAAAATCCAGATGTGATAAGGCTTTAGATATTTCCTAATTCCTGAGCCTGTTTTACTGACTGGACATGATCCTCGTCACTCTGATTTTGCTTCTGCTTATCAATTCCATCAGTTTCAATCAAAAGGAAAGACTTTATTTTTCCTCAGGGTAACTGAGGGTGAATGATTCTAACTTTGTCTTAATGGCTAAACCAGGGCTAGAGATTTACTTCTCCAAAGACTCACACTCATCCGATGGCTTCACAAGATATTCAGCACTTGGGTCACTAAATTGCATGCCGAAGTCCTAACAATGATACCCAGACCATGATTAATGAAACACCTTCTATTTTCCTATTAAGCGCTTTGTACGTGCGTTTTGGGTACTGTGCAATGAACATCAAGCTAAAGGTGTAGGGTTTAAAGAGTTAACCACATTTGCTGACCACGAAGCCTTGCTTTCAAGTGGATTAAAGGAACCTGGTTTAAATCCACCAGAGCAGGGGAGCTTGAGAGCTGAGCTGCGAATCCAGATGGCATTCCAGCATTAATTAAGCCTGTTACGAAGAAATAAAATTTGAAAGACATGACGCGGTGAGCTAAGATGGTCGTTTTAATCCAGGTTTTACTGTTTAATTTTCTTGGCGGCTATGGTTTCCAGTCAGATACTCCATGTTATTTACACTTCATAGAAGTGTTTAGCCAATTCTCCTTTTATGGTAGCATTTAAAATACTGCAGAAAGGCACCATTTATGAGTGCCATATGTACATATGTAGCTGCCTTATATCAAGCTAGATCATTGATACATTTAATCCAGTATTGTCTACTCTCTAGGATTTTAAATAGAGGTTTCTCATAATCATCTGCTTAATTAAAGGTGCTGTGCATTGAACTCATGACCTTCTGCATGCAAAGCATGTGATCTACTGCTAAGCTATTTCATGGTCCTCTCTTTAATTTGAGTTATATTTTGTGCCTTGCATAATGACTGCTATAATGATCTGGACCTACTTGAGTTCATCCATACACAGGATTCTATCTCCTTCTCCTTTTCTTTTCTTTATTTTATTTTTGCAAAATGACAAGTAATTTGTGTACAAAACTGTGGCCAGGGTCTTATCGGTTAGTTATGCTGGCATAAATGCAGTGACATACATTGCAATGGCAAATTTTACTAGTTAATGAGTTGCTACTTGTATGAATGGCACACAGTGAGGGATACAAACAATGAGTTGTTCAGTGGTAGCCATTAACCACAGTGATGTATGCCATTGCATTTGTGTCAGTGTAGCTCAATGGTTTAGGTATCAGGCTAAGAGTCCAGAGGTTGGGAGTTTGATTCCCCTCTGTGCTTCCTGGGAGAAGAGCCAGTCTATGTGACCTTGGGCTAGTTGCACAGGTTGGCTTAACTACTACTCTTACTAGAAGAAACATTTGTTAGTGAACCAGTCTAGGAAAAAAAGTTGTGCATGTCCTCACCCATCCTGTCCTAGCTGATGCTTTTCATTTTGTTTTACTATTGAGCTAGTTGGTGACCAGAGTTCTATAAGTTATCTAGAAAGGTACTTTCCCCATTAGCAATGTATATAATAGAACTCCCTCCAAAAATATATTTCATCTAAATCTGCCAGTTTTTTAGAAGAATATAAGTTTGACAGAAGAATATAACCTATTGCTTCCATTTCCCCTGATCCAGAATGACACTTCAGTTCTGCTTGAAGCAGTGCAACTTGCAAGGTTAACAGGGTGGATCATTACACCCTTAAAATATGGTATCACTAGTTCTGGAGACTTGTCAGGGTTTCCTGTGCTTCCTCAAAGCTCTAGTGTAACACCTCCATTGTAGCCGATCCTCCAGTTATCCATAACTGATGCAGTTTGAATGGTGCCTAATAAATTATTAAAAACAAATAGGGTATATTCCAGTTTTACATGACCCTGTCTACTTTCAGCATTGTTGAGCAGCACAGTTGCTACAGATTTTTAAATGGAATGTGCTCTGAAAACAACATACTGTATTATCTCAGATTTGGGAAGGTCTGAAAGCTGTTGAAAGACTGTGGTAAATAAAATGAGAGGCTATTCCCAGTCTGTTTATTTAGGTATTTTTGTCTTTTCAATTAGCTACAGATACAAATGATGTCCCCAACCCAACTCCCAGAGTTCTGTAAACCTTGGCTTGAGAACCATCACTTTGGTTCCAAAATCTAAAAAAGATTTCAGTTTTTTTTATTGCAAGCAAAGCATAGTATTTCATTTCAGTATTTGAATTTATTCAAATAAAGCCCTGAAATAGTTTTCATATGGATGGTTTTGGCTACTGGTGTTTGAGGTATGAGATGATGGCAACTCCCTGCATTACTAATTGGTTCTAAATGAGACTTTGTTTTATCGGTTTAAGGAAGCAGATCCTTGGCTTTCTTTTCAAGTTTTTTCCCCATTCAGTTAACATTTGCTTTGTAGGGTTTTTTTTCTTGGTATGCTCTGAAAGCCAAAAAATGTAGTTAATTGTGTCTAATACCATATGCTTCAAGGCTGATGGACTGATGGTTGTCGACTATAGGTTCTCTGTCATGGAGATTTATTGATTCAGTGAAGCTTGTAAAGAGGAGGATGTTGGCAGTGTGCCAGTGTGGCTCAGGCTAGGCACAGTACCTCTGGAGATGTGCAGAATAAATGGCTAGATCCTTCTTCATGAGAGTGGACCCCTGTTCACAGCAACAGCGGAGAAGTTTTTGTTTACTCCAAAACAACTCTCACATTTTGCCTAATAATAACCTATGTCGGTTGTGTAAAAATGAGTCATTTTAAATATTTAATCACTCTTTAAATATCTTATTCCTCATCCACCGTGTTCATGAATTAATGGTCACATCAGCAAAAGAGAATTCTGGTGCTGATGGGGGTGAAGAAATTCTTGAAGGGCAGCTATTGGGTAACAGTAGCTGCTACCCAGCTATTGGGAGGTGCCAGAGGCAAAGAATCTTTTGTAGACAATGGCAGTTACTCTCAAGTTAACACTTATTGGAACTTTGCAGAAGAGAGCAATGATAAGCCAGTTTTGAATACTTTTATCTTGAAAACCTTATGATAAGAGAATCCAAAACGAAACAAGAGATAGTGCTGAAAGATGAGAGTTTCAGATGGCACTCAGTCAGCTGCTGGGGAATAGCTAAGGATGATGATGAGTGCACTGTTACTGATGAAGCAAATGAAAAAACTGAAAGGTTGACTATCTGTTGATGTGCACAGTCACAAAAGGAAAGTCTAGTCTAGTGTTGTCCAATACATATAACTGGAATATGGAGTGTAAGTAGTATCAATTAAGTTAAGTTTGAAATTATAAAATCAGAAATGGAATGTTTAAACATGGACTTGATTAGAGTATTTACAATCTGGTAATTACATTTTTAATTTTTTTTAAAAAAAATAGAAACAACAAGCACAGAAGAAATGCCATGGTTGTACTCCTGGAGCAAGATGTAGGACAAGCAGTTAGAGGCTATAGTGCAAATTCTGACCAAAAATATCAATTAGACTTCATGGAAAGCCTATTTACATACGCATCATTCAAGTCTATATTCCAAATGCAGATGCTGAAGAAGAAATTGAAAGCATTTAAGCAGGAGAAAACTGATCATGCACCAAAACAAAATATGCTAACAATTATGGGTGAACGGAATGCAAAAGTAGGAAATAAAGCAGAAGCAAACATTAGGGCATTTGGTGTAAGAATCAGAAATGAAACAAGAGAGTGATTTATAGAATTTTGTGAAGCCAGCAACATGCTTCAGGCAGCTAAACCAACAATTGTACATGTGGTTGTCACCAAATTGCCAGTATAGAAACAAAATTGACTATATAATTGGGAAAACATGGTGGAGAAGCTCGCTTGCTGCAGAAGCAAAGAAGGACTGTGGTACAGATTATGAGCTGTAAATATAAAAAATTAGGAAAAAGCTAAAGAGAAACAAAAACAATCAGTGCCATAGTATCATTTTAAAAACATTCTGTAATTAGTTGCATTTTTAAATCTTGAGATTCCCTTCCGTCTTTCACTTCTCACATGAGATCTCTTAAGTTTTTGGATGAAGACCTCAGGCCTGTTCTCCCTCAAAGAAGCCCAGGTGCTGAGTATTAAGCAGGTAAAGTATAAGGTATTGAGATGCTTCCTCTAGCCTGCTTGAGGGAATGTCTTCTGTCAAATACAGATATGCTACTTGTTCTTCATTTTCAAGTTGTAGCCATAATTATGGTCATGAAAAAGAGAAAAGTATGAACCAACCCCCTGCAACTGTGCATAGCAGCCCAAACTAAAAGTTCACTACACATCTAATGCTTCAGATTGCAGCATGTACAGAAGAGAAGATAGGGCTACACAGCTTTTGTAGTTTGGAACTTTTTACAAATTCTGCTTTGTGGTGAACTTCAACTATATGTTTTCCTTCCACTTAGCCTTTAATAATAGATGCTCTAACTGTCACCACTCTTGTTTTCTGCCAGGAAACTGTTGTCGTAAAATGCAGCCGTTCTGGTCATGCTTTGATAAACAAGATGTTCCAGTATGGAAGGTGGGTGGTCTTGACAACTGTTGTCCTTTGGTTTGTTTGTTTTTAGATCAAATTTGTAATGAGAGTTGATTATGGGTCTCTTACCATTCCAAGGAACCCCAAAATTTTATTGGTTCCTCAAGACTTACATTTATGAAACGAAATAGGTTTCAAAGCTCCTTCTGAGGGAAAAATAAATTCGCTTATTCCTCTCAATTAGAAAAGTATTTTGTCTAGCCAATTTTTTTGTGTTTTTGGAGAATTTAAACACACATTTCTCTCCAGGGTAAATCTTTTCTTTTCATAATGTCCTCCTTCACAAACAATCTGTAGTATGTGAGTTATTCCCCCTGAGAGTGGTCCTATGCCCTAGGAGACAGTGGCCACATGAGAAGAATTGGGGGAACAGCCTAATTCCAGAGTTGAACTGAGTGGCCATAGTTAGGGGGGGCGGGGCTGAAAAACAAAGACACAAATCATTTATTATATTGTTTTGGAATACCTGTCCATTATAGTAAATAGAGTCCCGTGGGTATGGGGTGCACATTAGAATTTAGTTTATAATAAGCACTATTACTTGTATTTTTTTGTATTTTTGTTATGTATGTGTTCTTTTGTGTATTTTTTTTGTATAAAATAAAATATTAAAAAAAAAAAAAAGGAATACCTGTCCTTTCCTTTAATTTGTTCAGTCCTTCTTTCTAAACAAACTGCTCATGCTACTGCAAAAAATTAATCATAAACAGTGTTTTAAAAAGCTATTACCTTAGCTCTTCCACTGTATCTCTAGGATCAGCAGAATAAGGTTCTAGTGTATATCCAAATGGGAGCAGAAAAACGTACTTGTACTTCCATATGCAAGCTAGACAGTATTTGAATCAAAAGTAAAAGAAGTTTCTAGTTCTCTAAATTTTAACACAGAAAATCACTGCCAGATCAAAATGCTGAAGCCTTTATAGGAAACTCCAGATGTGTAGCAGTGTATGTTTGGATAGATCACAATGAGGGTTAAAATGGTAAATTCCATCAAAGAATGCAGCTCTTGGAAGTGTTTTTTTCAGTATCCTTTCACAATATATACTTACAAACAGTAGACCATATGGTTCTTATGAACTTCCAGTGTTTATATATATATTTTTGCAGATAAATGGAACCAATAAATGTCAAAATACTTGATTCTATTTCAGACAGAAAATAAATCTGCAACTTTTTCAGATTTTAAATATCTTGTTGCTAGTGCAATAGTCAAGAAATGTGGGAGGGGAAGGGATTTTAATTTTCATGATGCAAATAGCATCAAAAAAACTAGGTAGTTGAAGTGAACATGCCATTTTGAATTGATTTCATGTGATTGTTTTTTCTTTTATTATCTAATGCTAGAAAAAGATATGCCCATTTATATCCCATCTCAGCACCAGCCAGCCAGATCCTTAACATAGCAAAGTTTTTTACAACTCTGCAATACTATTTACAGGCATCTCTTACCAAGCTATCTATCTTTTGATTTGATTTGATGTTTGTCCTGCCTTTCTCTTGAGCCAAGGTGGTTTACAAACATGTTATTTACTGATGGAAAATAGCTATGATTTTTAAAATGGGAAATCTTCCTTGTTACATGTGATGTTACTAGCAAAGCTAGACTCTTGGCTGGTTTCATTACCTTAGGCAGCTACCCAATAGTGGGATTTTTTTTCTCTTGAGATTCCTCCTACAAGTCACTGCATGGTGAGATCCACATGAACTATGTTCATGAGAAAACCCAAACACGTTTTAAGATCATAGGCCTGTGAATCTCTTAGATTGTTATTGTCCATGGTCAGAACACATAATGGAGACTAGAGTTTGATTTATTGTGTGTTAACTGAAGGGGACAGGGAAGAAAAGGCACAGAAATAGTAATGCATACCCCCATGGAGGGCAGTCTGGATACTGATGAGCTTATTACAAAGGAGCATTAGCAGTGATCTTATTACACAAAAGTAATTATCCTGTTCCATTTTAAAGATGTTTCTGGCCCACCCTCAATTGACAGGCTATCAGGTGACATACAACTGGTGGGATCATATTCAAAGAATTGATAATGATTTGACTATATAAAAGCAATTTAATATATATATATATATTAAACAACTCAGTGCAGTTTTGTATCTTACATCAAGAATTGACATTACTGATCCCTGCAATTGCCTAAATCATTGCACAAATACAATCTGGGACATAACAATGATTATTAACCTTGAACTTCATAAGATTTAAAGTTTCTTCCAGAATCTCAAAAGGCAGTAAACACCACAGAACACATGTCAAAAAATGAAGTTAGTCCAAGTAAAATATTTCTTTGTGCTGACAGTAAAATAAAAACAGTAAGGATAAAAATGGTGAGTGCTCGGACACTGGAGGCATTCAAGAAAAACTTAGATAATCACCTGGCAGTTATGCTTTGATTGTATTCCTGCATTGAGCACTGGTTGGACTTGATAGCCTTGTAGGCCTCTTCCAACTTCACTTTCCTATGATCCTATGGATTTTTGGTTTTCTTTCCAGACTCCCTGCCATAGTCCTGGGTCTATAGTTAACATAGCACGTGGTGCCCGGAGGGAAGGCCTGTCTGAATAGCCAGATCTTCAGTTGGCTTTTGAAACTGCCCAGCGAAGGGGCCAAACGGATCTCGGAGGGGAGGTTGTTCCACAGACGGGGAGCCACTGCCGAGAAGGCCCGGTTTCTTGTTTTTTCTTTCCGGACCTCCCTCGGTGTTAGGCTCCTCAGTTGCCCCTCTTGGCTCAAACGAGTGATGCGAGTAGATCTAGGTGGGAGGAGGTGTTCCGCCAAGTATCAAGATCCTAAACCATTTAGGGCTTTGTATATAATCATTAAAACTTTGAAATCGATGCGGAAGTGAACAGGCAGCCAATACAAGGCGGCCAGAGTGGGAGTGATATGTTGATGTTTTCTTACCCCGCTGAGAAGTCTGGCCGCCACATTCTGCACCATTGGAAGCTTTTGCATCAATCTCAAAGGCAGAACTTCACAATTGAGGCTCCACAGAGCCGAATCCTTCTCCCCAAGCTGGACTCTCTGAGGGCGGTCCCCCAAGAAGGATTGGAGCCAGGCAAACACCAGGCCACCAATTCCCAGCTCAGAGAGCCTCCTCAGGAGGATACTGTGGTCGAGGGTATCAAAGGCAGCTGAGATATCAAGCAGAGACCAGCAGAGACGTTTTACCTCTGTCGGCCTCCCTCATAGGGCATGTTATCTCTCCACTCAGCTGTACTGGTACCGAGTCTATTTCTGGGCCCCATCTAAAATATTGTTGTTGTTGTTTAATTATCTGCTCTAAATGTTTTTGGATCAAGTCACTTGAAAGACCACATCTTCCAATGGCTACGTCTCAATTTGAGATGTTCAAAGCCACTTTCCTAGGTGCCCCATCTAAAATGATGAAGCAGGCAAGCACAAGTGAGAGGGCCTGTTTAGTGAATGCACTTCAGGTATGGAACACCCTTCTTATATAAGCCTTCCTGGTACCTTTTTGGTGTCATTTTTTTTTTAAAAAAAATTCAGCCAGTCAAGGTCTTTAACATTAGTCCTTCAAGTTGAACCTCTCAGTTTTAGTATATCTGTTTTAACTCTGAAGTTAAACTTCCATGAGTTTTGTTTTTTGTTGTTTATATCTATGTTATTATTGAAATTGTCTGATGCCTGAATTGTATTTTAAATGCCTGTATTTAATACAAATGACCCAGACAATTTTATCTTATGGACTGGCTCGTAAATGAATTTTAGATTAATTAATTTCAGATCTTAGTTAAAAGAGAACTGATTTGGGCCCCCACCCACTCCAGTTAATATAAGTATCAATGTCGTATTCATTCTATGATTAGACTTAGGGGAAGAAGAAATACTGCTTTGATAAGAGATGCTCTCTCCTTCTATCTTAACCATGTGTTCAAGATTCCTTTTGTTACACCTGCAAGTATCCAAAGCATTTATTTTGCTTCAGTATTTTATTGTAAGAGCTATCAAGGATAAGAGATGACATTTGTTTTATTTGTTTCTTCTCCTTTTCAAAATTATGCTTTGACTATTTTCCCCTGAAGGAAAGTTGCGTGAAGCCCAGTCTCCATTTCTTTTCCTGGCATTTCTACAAACTCATTTCATCCAATAAAGTACATCTTAGCTTAGTCTGTGTCTCTAGAAATAGCTCAGATTTGAGGATGACCTGAGGGCTTGGCAGAGTACAGAAGAGTTGACATTCCTTAATTCTGGCTATTGAAACAGGGTTGTGACTCAACACTCCCTTTGTTTAATTTCCTGATGTTTAAATCAGCATCAGAGTTTGTATGAGTAATTCTTCTCCTCAGATCCTTGGGCTTTGCAGAAAAATAAGTATTGTTAAACCACCATAAAGATTTGAGTTAGACATGCTCCTCTTTACTTCTTTTTCCCCTTCTGGCCTTCCCCCCAACCTCTGCCATTTTGGGGGGGGGGATTAAAAATGACTATTTATAAACCATTTCCTCCAAGCCTGGCAAAGTTCTGTTTGGGGTATGTGTCTCTTAGAACTCACTAAGCAGCATGGCCATAACCTTGGTGCCTAGAATATTCTGGGAGCACTAACCAAAAAAAGTAACTTTTGTAAGCTTTACATTTTGCCCCAATGAATGAAAATACTGCATATTTTCCTTCCACAGAGTTTACAGTGCTTCTGATTCACAAATGACAGTGTTTGCAGATGTATCCCCTTTACTAACTTCTCTGCTGGATGGGTGAGTTGGAAGTCACAGCAAATATTTTTAATGGGATAACAACTCAAGATGAGTTATTATTTTTTTTCATTTAAAAGAGCACACGAAACCTATTTAAATTCTGTATTTTCTACAACAGTAAAAGGATGCTTGATTTTTCTGGAATAAACTAATACAGCTATCATTTTGCAAAGAGTAAATCTTGTGTCTCCCAAATAGGAATTAATATACCACCATTGCTTCTTTCTTTTAGTTGAGACTTTGGATAAGTTACTTTTTTAGATTATAGTTCCTAAAATCCCTCATCATATTTGGTAGGGGCATTTGAGAAGTATAAAAATTAACTTCCAAGGTCTGTTTCAGCTGTTGTGTCCCAAAGAAGGATGAGGAGGTTGTTCACTGTTCTACCTCAAATTCAACTTACCCAGCTGGCTGCGTAAATAATAAAGCCCCAGTGCGCCTGCTGTAAAATGACCGGGATGACATCTTCTCCCTTAAGCCAGCTTCTGTTGGCACATTGCTATCTTGAGATTTTTTTTTCTGCAGACATTCAGGAAATGTTCTGTTGTTAGAAACTAAAGTATTCCATGCGTTTCTAGGATGCGCCATTTAAACAAAAGCAGATTTCTCTCTGAAAAAGATGAGCTCTTTATACCCGTCCATGGTTGTGATCATCTCTTTCTGTAAAATATGGAACAGACAGAACATTTTGACTTTGACTTACTAACAGTGTACAGTATAATGTGAGCCATTGACTGATTTCTCATGTTTCCTAAAGAGATGGTTATTTTAATTCAAGGGTGAGGAAACTGCCAGTCCACAGGCTCAAATCAGTTTCAGATCAGTTCCCAGGGACTGCTTTCCAGTGGAGGCACGGCTAAAGCAAAAAGCTGAGACCCAAAACACCAGAGTACAATTCATTACACCTCTTATTTCTGTTAATGAAATCTTAAGAGAAGCATTGCAACCTTTTAACATAGGGGGAAAAGTTATGTAGAAAAGCTGGGAAATTCCAAATGAAGGTATCATGAGGAAAGCAGTGTGGCCTTCTAGGATACCTGAGAGCGTTGGATTTAGTCACCTAAAAGGTCTGAGGTTTTACACTTTGCTTTTGTTCATGCACTAAAAATTGTAGACTGAAAAAGCTGTGATTGCAACCTGTTATCATAAGACTTAGACATCTGCATTGGTACCCAATGCAACTGTGTCTTCATTTGATTATTTATTAGTTATTTATGTATTTATTTAAAATATTTGTATCGCACCTTCCCTCTCAAGGGGACTCAAGGTACTTTGCAATGTTAAATAAACAAAATTAGAAACTAAAAAGCAATAAATTTTTACAATATTTAAAAAGAATTAAACAGATATTGAATTAGACATATGGAACTCTTGAAACCATTGAATGTTAGATCTTCAATCCCATGGTTAGTGTCCTGTTACTTTCTTGTATCTCTTCTTGAGATTTGAAAAAATTCATATATCTGTGCCCTTTCTTTGCCCCGTAATTTATACCATCAGCTTCTTTAGTTCTGTTGAAACAGCTCCAGGAGACATCCTACTTAGGAGGAGTAAGGAATAGGCGACGTTTTCTGGGTATTATGCACTCTGTACTGCTCCATCCCATTGAAGAACTTTCCAGAAAGATAAAAGGGAGAAATTTAACCTTAACAAGCTTCAGTGTTTGTTTTTAAAGGAGCTTCAATTACTTTATATTTGTGTGGAATTGCTCAAGAATTAAAAATGCTGCCTTTTCCTCTCAAGATACTGTATTCATACTTTGATCAATAGCTAAGCTGCCTTTCTGATTTGCAGGTATAACGTGTGCATTATGGCTTATGGGCAGACTGGGAGTGGGAAGACCTACACAATGTTGGGTCCACAACCTGAAGATAGTTGCACTTTTCTTCTAGAAGATGAGTTAGAGTTAGGAATTATTCCTAGAGCCGCCGAAGAAGTATTCAGGTATTGATGACACTTCATGATAGCACTGAATAATTGATTAATTTGATTTATTGGGAAGTGTTACTACTTTGCTTTTTGTACAACGATTTTCAAAACAGGATACAACAGTTGCAGTCAAGGTGACATGAAGAAGGAAAAGCCTATAACAACTCACAGAAAATGTTAAAAAAATCAGTGCATGTTGACTTTTTGAATTATTTTTAAAAATGTTTTTATGATTCATCTAAAAGAGCCAAACTCCCCTCACTGGCCCATCTCAGCTAGCTACTTGTTCTGCAGTTCAGTGGTTCCCATCTTGGAATCCTAGATGGTCTTGGACTATACAGTGGTGCCTCGCTTAACGATGATAATTGGTTCCCAAAAAATCGCTTAAGCGATTTCATTGCTAAGCGAAACACAGTTTCCCATAGAAATGCATTGAAAACCGGATAATCCATTCCAATGGGAACAGATTACCGTCCTTAAGCAAAAATTGCCATAGGAAACATCGCTAAGCGAAACACGGTTCCCCGATTGAAATGCATTGAAACCTATTCAATGCATCTCAATGGGGGGGGGGAATTACAACAAATTTAAAAAGAGTCGGAACAAAGTCAAATTAGTTTAACAAAAGGTTTATTAAGTGCACTTATGATTTCAAGCATTCTAAACATTTTTAAACATTTTTAAACATTTAAAAAACAGCCAACATGAGGCTGTCAAAACCATCGTTAAGCAAAACAGGGGGACCCAAACTGTCATTGCTATGCGAAGCATGGTCCCAAACATTGCTATGCAAAAATCACCCATAGGAACCATCATTAAACGGAGCGCAAGATTGCTCCGAAAAAGTCATCGCTAAGCGATTTAATCGTTAAACGAAGCAATCGCTAAGTGAGGCACCACTGTAATTTTGAGAAGCCTTTACCAGCCGAGTCAGTTGTTAGGACTTCAAGGAGCTGTAGCTCAAGAACAAACATTTGATGCCCCAAGTTTGGAAATCTTTGTTCTGCATCTTAGCTCCACTGTGGTTGCCAGCACGATAGAAGTGGATGTCAGTCCTTTAAAGAAAGAAAGAAAAATCAATTATGTGGAACTTAATATTTCCTGTGACTTTTATTTCTGAATAATTGTGAAAGCCTATTCAGAAAATACCAATGTGGGCTTTTATTCCAGCTATCAGTGTGCATATATGAAATCAATTGACAGTAAATTGTTGCTGCTTGGTGTATAGAATTCTCATTTCATAGCATTTTTGACCATAGATTTCTGCACAAGCCAATCTTTGTTGCAGTGTTTGACATATTCTCTCCTCCCTCATTGTTCTTTGTAGTTTTCAATCAACGAATTGTACATTTACTGTACTATGGACTTCCTCCTCTTACAATTACAAAATTGTTCTTTGCATTGGGGAGGGTGGACAGACTTTTTAAAAATTCAGATGCACACACAAGCAACTGTGTGTCTCTTTCAGTTACTGATTCAGACACTCAGCAATTTCAAATAGCAATAAGCTTACAGGATTAAAGACAGTGAAAATGGGACCATGTCAGTGAAAGCAAATGATAAGTGAATTTGTGAACAAGTGATTTGAAAGATATACTGTATTGTAAAAGTTAGATTGGATCCAGATATATGGTATTGATGGAAATAATAGCAGTTATACTGTACTGCAAACTGCTACATGCGAGCTAACAGTAGAAATAGTACAATACAGTATATACTTAATTCAAGCCTATGGCTTGCAATGTGGAAAAGCTGTGGAAGAGATAGCATAATATGATGTACAGTACTGTAAAAATCACACCACAGCATTCCAGTTCTCTTAGAAAGATTTTCCACTAGGTCTAGAAGACTTCTTCTATTTAAAGAATTATCCTTCCATCCAGAGAAAGGGACCTTCTGGATTCAAAAGAGTGTGCTCTGATCATAAAAACAAAACCTGCTGTTTCTTTGGCATTGAGGTCAAACAAGTTAGGACAGAAACAAGTCTGTAGGTGCAAACTGCACGGTCTTCAAGCAATACATGCTGGTATTTGTTGTGAATGGATTGATTGCGACAGCTGTCAGACACCCTCCACTAGGCCCTCAGTTTCTTGTTTCTGCCACCATTTGCAATTTTATATTGGATTATTAGATATGTTCTCTTTCCTGGTGTTTAATGTTGGTGCGGGTGTACGGGTTTGTGGTCAGTTGTTATTGTTTATGGTTGTGTGTTTTTTCCTTTCCAGTTTGTTCTAAACTGCTTAGATTAGTGCTTTGCACTTAAGTAAGCGATATATTCTTGTTGTTGTTTAGTCGTTGTTTCTGACTCTTCGTGACTCCATGGACCAGAGCACGCCAGGCCCTCCTGTCCTCCACTGCCTCCCGGAGTTGGGCCAAATTCATGTTGGTAGCTTCAATGACACTGTCCAACCATCTTGTCCTCTGTCGTCCCCTTCTCTTCTTGCTCTCACACTTTCCCAATATCAGGGTCTTTTCCAGGGAGTCTTCTCCTGAGATGGCCGAAGTATAGATTTATGAAATAAATAAATGAATAAAACCTAGTTTATCACTTCAAGCAAGAGTGTTCCCTGTGAGACTGTGAATTCCCAAAATGACTTATGTGACTGAGTAAGATTTGAACTTGTGTCTATATACCTTTTCTGTCTCATGTTGCATGCAGTTTACTTCTTGTATTCAAAATGCCAACTAATTATCCTTTGTAACAGATTCATCATAAGGTTTTTCTGTTGAGTGTCTTATGTAGAATTGGGAAATGGAAGTATTTTTGTCACATAATATGTTGGAGGCTTGTGGTACAGGATGGCTTTTTAACCTATGGAGCGGGTGCCTTAATTTTAATTAATACCTAGCCACATGATATGTTGTTTTTGTTATTGCTGCAGATTCATAGTAAGATATTTACTTCCTGTCACACAAGAACTTGGAAATGTCAACTGTTTTGGACTGCAGCTCTCAGAACTCCTGACAAACAAGGAGAATTATAGTCCTGAAGGTACCAACCTTTTATGGTACCACTAAGCCTCTGGGGTACACATTTGAAGCAACTATGTGATGAAAATTACAGTGCACAGTTGCCATGCTGGGGAGATTTGCCTGCCATTCATTGGTGGCTGGTGTAATAGCACAATGCACTAAAACCTGAAGATCCCAATAGCAGCTTCCATCTGAACACTGGCCCATCATCATTCGGGATACACTGTATGATTTTTAAAAAAAATCAAAATATGAACCTTGCAGTCTTTTCAAATTCTGCTTTTCTCACAGATACCAACTTTGGGACAGAGAATTGATTCATTACCTTTTTCTAGGAGCCTATGAAACTGAATTGTGCAGTCAACATAATTGTCCCAGTATATCAAAGTCATAACTGTTGGAGCAGATTATTAAAAAGACCCAAATTTCTCTGAAGAGCAGTAAAGACTCTGGCTTATGGAATCTCGATATTTAGATAAGCACTTCAGTCTGTCTGTAATAGTCTACTGGATCACATACTCTGTTTATTTAAGTTTATGTTTCATCCTCTTAAGTGTTTCCCCCCTACTTTCCCCCTTTTTCAGGCTTCTTTCAGAAAAGTCACCAGGAAGCCATTGGGTTGAGGTTTCTGTTGTAGAAGTGTATAATAATGAAGTATTTGATCTTCTGGCCAAAGACAACTCTGGAAGAACAAGTGGTGTCAAAAGAGAAATAATCACAAATAAGGAAGGAAAGAGTGATATCCCTCTTCTTACCTACGAGTGAGTACTCACTTGTGTCAGTGTCCATGTATTTTGGTGCAAAACGATGACAGAAGTATCATACAGTATGAGCAGTGAGGAGGAGTGTTCATTTTTAACACTGTTATTATTGTCACTCTCGAATTGGCCTTCTCAGCCACACTAGATGCTGTTCGAAGTCCTCTATTCAGAGCACGTTACATAGTCTCTCGAGACTGAAGGATGCCTAATCTAATCTATCTTGCTTCTCATATTCACTTATGATGTGTTAACATTACCACAATGTGAATTTTATTAGATTATTATTTATTTTATCATTTTTGCACTTTAAACACTTCTGAATATGTCCTTCTTTTGTGTTACATTCCCAGGTAGTGGTTTATGGGGGCTTTAGGATGCGGGAAATCTCAGTCTGTTTGGCTACTAGGTGGAGGAGAGATGAAAGAGAACACATTTTAGTTTTGCCTACACTTGGGACCTTGTTGCAGCGGAAAGCAGAGGTGTGCAGACTTGTGTTTTGGAACTATATATCCCAGAATTCCCCAGGCAGAATGGCTACTGGCCATGCTCTTGCAGAATTTTGGGAAGTGTAATCCAGAAACACATATCTGCGTACTTCATGTCAAAAAGAGAAAAGATTTTTGGATTTGTTATTGCTGCTTTGAAAACCATTTCATATGTTAAAATTCCACAGAAAACCATAAATGATTCTGTTCCCAATGGAAATTAAACCACTTGCTTCAACTCCTGTAGTCAGAATATAAATTGTTTCTCTTGTTGTTGGGGGTGGGAGATGGATGACTAGAAGTCAGACACAACAAGCCTTTTATTTCCTTCATAAACTATAATATGCTACACCCACGAAAGAGATAATTTAAGACAGTATTTTTGTCTGTGGGTTTCAGTAACATAAGCAAACCACTAGAGCTTTGTTTATATGGTTCTCTATTATTGCCAAAAACCATTGATTTAAAAATACACCAAATGCACTGGGGGGTTTCAAGCAAACTTAATTCTTTCTGTCTGTTTTTATATTCTGCACACATTTATCACCCCAGAGAATGGGGGGACCATAGACAAATTGTGGAATTGGTCTTTCTAAAATCAGAGTTTGAATGGTTTGTAAGACTGCCATCCTAAAGAGAAGAGGGAGAATGGAAATGTGTTGTGGACATTTCCTTCTGGCTCTCTTGCCAGCCAGGCAGATATGTCCAGAGAGCTGATTCTTATATCTTTCTAATGCTTCATTATAGGAATTAGATTAGTTGTGCTCTGAGGAACATCTAAATTTCTCTTCATATCGAGGGCATAACTGGAGGCTGAGAGGGCTGTGGATCCAGCAGATCAAGGTCCCTTCCCTCATTCCTTGTCCACTCTTACTTCCATAAGACTGCCAGTTTTGTGTTCTCCAAGGTCAAGAGTAATAACTTATTTATTGATTGATTTGATTTGATTTTTATACCACCCATCTGGCAGCCAAGGCCACTCTTGAACACCACATAAGCTTTTGCTATAGTTGAGAGGGATTGGAAGTAGGGGTCCAATATTAGATTTCATTCTTTAAGATTGAAGCAGCTTCCCTGAATGCTGACCTGGATGATAATGTTAACTTATGGTTAGAAGCAGCACTCCCCTGAGAGGAAAAATGCTGTTTATTATAGCACAAGCATATGCCATTCCACATGTTGCAAATTAGCTTGCTTTTGTTATGTTGTTAGTCACAAGGAGATAACTAGGGCTTCATTTGTATGTCTAATGTTTCTGGCATGTAGTTTTGAAGGAATTTTGTACCTGGAGGGAAAAGTTTGTAATAGCAAGAACAACATACTTGTCTTAAGTTGTGATATGACCCGCAATGTCATCAGAAATCTCAGAGGAGAATATTTGTTCTTTCCTTTAGCTCTTGAAATGTATCCCCAAGATCACAGGCTTGCAGCCTAAGACTTCCATATCTTCAGCTATTTGGAAAAGAAGTGTTTAGCGTTCAATATAGCACCACCCATACCCACCAATTTTAGAACAGCAAGTGCATGACTTTCTTGGAAGAAGAATCGGATTTTGTAGAGTTTCCAAGTAAAAGCGTGGTACACAAATCAAATAAATAAATTTTGACTCTTGCTTTTCTACAGTCGAAACCCAGTTGCTTAGTGTGGTAAGTTGCACTAGAGTAGACCCATTGAATCCATCAGAATTAGGTGAGTTAACTCATTTGTAAGTTCAGTTGATTCCAATAGGTCTCCTCTAGTTGCTACTATTTTAGATTGGCAAGTTGCAATTAGAGTAGGCCTATTGGGATCAATTGAACTTACAAAGGAGTTGACTCACCAAATCTTCACTGATTCTGTGGGCCTGTTTTAGTGCAATTTGTTACATTAAGCAACTGCACTGCCTTCTGCTGTACACTCTAATAAAGATTGCACTAAACTGAGACAGTAACCATTTTCAAATTTCTGTCATATCTTCTAATAGCATAGTTTGTAGAACTTTGGCACATGTTGCACTATTTTCTCTGTTTCTTAACCAAGAAATAACTCCTGGATTTATTTCTTGTTATCTGGTGAGTAATGAGTAGCCAATGGCTCCAGTTAATCCATTAGAAGTGTAGCAGAATCTGGTGAGCTGTATATGCAGGCTTTCTCTTGTATAACATGAGGTAAACTGGCATTTGCTGACAGGAAAAACTCAAAAGGGCTACAATCCAAAGTAATTTATTTCCATTATTTTTATTAATCATCTTTCTCAACAAGCGGCCTGTGCCATGCCTTCCGTGAAGGCAAAACTGCTCACAAATGGCAAGGTTCACTTTCCTGTCTAAACAACTTCAAGCTGATAGTTGAAGTCTCAGAGGCCTGTAATATCATTCTTCATTTATCCAGGATAGTCATTGGTCCTTTGAAATTTTATTGAGGTGAAATAACCTGCAAGCTGGAATTTGTGTCATATAGCAGAAAACTGGCAGAGGTATTCCCACCCACCCACCACAATTTTTCAGGAGGCTTTGCTTTTATTGCAGTCCTTTTTATTGTATAGCTAAAAACAAAAGACCCACCGGGAAGAAAAGCACCTCTTTGAAAAATGTTTATGAGTTCAAGACACTCTTACACACAATTCGTGTCTTAAATTCCATATATTTATGAGGAAAGATATTAATAAACACTCAATATTAACAATTTATACAGAAAAGTTTAACAATGAAACACATATCAGAACTAAATAAGGGAATCATGCTGCTTGGCCACTCTTTGCTCTCTACAGTTTAAAGTAAAGCTACCAGGATTTTGAGTAGTATTTCAACTGTATTGCATTTGCTTATGAATGGAAAATTCTCAAAAGTGTTTTGCCCCTTTCTTCTCTGTCAGGCTAACTAAGGCAGAATTTATGCTTGTCTCCCCCTTCCCTTATTCTAAAGAACGATTACTTTCTCCTAGTTTTAGAGGAGGTTGTTCTTTTCTGTTCAAATCAAAGAAGATCCAACATATTATTCTCCACCATACTGCCTTATACCAAATCACGCTGTTATTTATTCAGTCCAACATTTATAAATGTGGCTTTTGAAACATTAAGCCTTTCAATTGCTGATTATGGAAACTGAACCTGGGATTTTTTGTATGTAAAGCATGTACTTGACTACTGAACTATATCCCCTCATAGTTCATACAAGATGGATTCTGGAGCAGTCATAGAGTGTATGCTCAGAAGGTTCCAGGTTGATTTCCCCAGCATTTCTAGGTAGAGTTGGAAAAGCCCAGTGTTTGAAATAAGAGAAGGTCAATAGTGAGGTATATGGAGCCATGGTTCAACTTGCTGCAAGGTGATTTTCTGTGGTTCTAATTCCTTCAGGATTCATCTGCATCCCGAAGCTGTGGCAGGTTCCAGGTTGTCTCCAAACCTCAGTTACTTGAATAGACCAGATCAAAGCTTTTGATTATGTTGGAAACATTTTCTCAGGATATGCTTTGTGTAGCCATCAAAGTTCAAAACTATGAAGAATATTCTTTGTAATATCAATAATACAGAATATATTGATCCAATTTATATCTTGCCTTTTCTCCATGAATGTGGTTCAAGATGGCTTACAGTAAAATAGAAATAGAAAAATGTAGCATTGTGATCCATTCAGAAAATGTAAATTGATACATTTGACAGAATTGTCTTCAACAGAATTTGCAAAATTAATTTTGATGTTGGTGGCAATTTGGTTTCACAAGCCAAGAGTATCACATCTGTGTGATCCAGTTTTTGAACTAGTTACAATAACCACAAATCTTATGCTGTTTTTGCCTGATGGTTTGGGAGAACTTGTTAGCTTGCCTTATTTGTCACTTTTCAGTTATCAATAAAGGTGTTACCCAAAATAAAATAGTGCAAATATATAAAAAGAATGAAAGTATAAAAGAACTAAAATTCAACTGAAAAATGCAGCAGTAGAGAAAAGTATGGCATCCATCCATTTTAAAGCCCCTTCTGCAGCAAGTGAATTTAGGTGCCGAAGACATACTTGAATAAAAACATGCCTGCTGTCGTATCCTGAAAGGACAATGAGACAATTTATGAAGGGTTCTTAAAAAGCCAAGCTTAACCTAAATTCAGCTAGGCATTGTTCATCCTTAGCCACAAAGCTGCATGTACTTTTTAAGGCAATCTGCAATTTTGAAAAAGAAGAGGTAGTTCTTGAATGTTACAGTACCTCAATATGTATTTTTATTCCATTCATAGACTTACATAAAATTATTGAAAGCAGGAAGGAAATGAGTTTCTAGAAACTTAAATAGAGATGTTATCAAATATCTGGAGGTTTGCAGAGGAAAACAGGTGGGAACAATGTAGAGAACAAGGCTAGTTTTGGGGACACAGGTCTGAGACGCAGCTGGAGGAAACATTACCACATGAGTCCTTGTTTTTCCAACTACAATATATATTTTTTAAAAGTCTGCAAATATGTTTTGTTTTTTAAGGTCTGTTGGAGATGCTGTAGAGTTCTTGGAGCTAGTGAATAAGGGCCTTCAACTGAGAGTGAAACACCCAACTCTGGTACATGCTCATTCCTCTCGTTCTCATCTAGTGGTAACCTTGTGTATAACCACAAGGACTGTCTCAATGGATCACTTTGGTAAGTAGTTTGATTGTAGCACATTTAAGGAAATCAGGGGAAGCCAAACCCCTTTTTTGCTTTTATTTCAGCATATCTCATATTTAAACCAGGTCTGAGTCTGGTTTCATGTTGATGCTCAATTCCAAGCTGAAATGTTTGCCATCATTTCTCATTGCTTATATTCACACTAGAGGGAGTACATGATGGCCAGTATGTAGGAGTATTTCTAGGATTAATATGAAAGCATACATTCCTTCCTAGTCAGGCACAATGATCTCTCTGCCACATCATGTTACCTTTTTAAGTTGTTTTTAAGTTGTGTTGGTTTTGTGAAATTGGTACTCTACCAGTTCTAGTCGAAGACCAAAGTGTCCTGTCTCTCTAGAACAACATTACAAAGTTAGAATTGCCGAAAAGTCTTATATCAAATTCCAAATCCCCAACTGGTAATTTTCCTTCTCCCATTATGCAATCTCACTCTCCCTCCCGCCAAATTCTGAGGCTGGGAATTTACACTCTGGTAATGAAGCAGGCAGTTATGGACAAGTTAGACATAGTCTGAGCAGTGCCCCATTTGTCCTAATGGATCAGCCACACCTGGATAGACCATAAACTAAGACTCTTTGAGTATTAACTTAAAAAATCATCCATGCATGGAAACAAATATAAAATATTGTAAGGGGAGAGGGAAATCCCTTAATTTATTTCTAATGATTGTATATGATTTGGGTCAGCAAACCTTCAGTAGAACATTGTATAGAAAACCAGGATCTCCACTGAGAAGCCTTGCTGTAACCCACATTACAAGTTATATCCTTTAGGAAGGTGAAACTTAGCAGGGCCAGTGTTACTGATGTTTAAAATTTGGGAGGATCCATAGCTAGTGTCAAGGACTGACTTTATCTGGACAAGAGAGAGATGTAATGGAAAAATAGAGGTTGCAGCAGGTTTTGTGAATGCGGGAAACAACTGTAAATGCATGCACTTTTTCAACTCTTACACAATCTTTGATTTAGGAGAAGAGCTACCTGTATAGGCTAATGTTGCAATGTCATAATCCTTCCCTTCCTTAGAGTCACCAGAGTGAGACACTAACGAATTTTTATCACTTTGTTAGCACAACTTAGTCAGATCTAAACAATTGCATTAAAAAAACCCTTGAAAATATAGTCACAGGGTTGGGTCTATCCATTCTTGTCCCAAGCCCAGAAATCATAGTGAACTAACCCAATCTTCCTCTGTGTCTTGGGAAAGTTAGATTATAGCCCCTAGAAGACCCACGCCAGTGGCTGCAGTGGGAGAGTCTGAGATCTGTAGTTTCTAAAAACGTAATTTTTCCAAACTCTCTTATTTCATTTGTGTGTGTTGAGAAATAAACTGTGCTCAATGCTTTTCTTTCTGCCACCTAGGTACTCCCTGGATAGGTGATCGTTCTAGTCAAAAGCTGACTAAAGAACATTTCCTCAGCTCTCCGTATGCAGTGAAAGATGGCATGCCCTCCTTTCCTTCCAGAGCTTCTTCGCCAGCCCAGTTTGTCAGTGAACCTATGGAGAAGTTGAAAAGAGTGAGAACAAGACTTCAGCTAGTGGATTTAGCTGGCAGTGAATGTGCTGGTAAGTCCGCTTTTGGGACAGAACCATTTCATGTTTGTAACCAAGTGTACTTACTGTGGGACTGGTTTACATTTAATTAAAATGTATTCTTGATGAGTGCCATACATATGCCTCCAGGGAACATATACATAAGAAATGTATTAGTTTAAAAAAAAAATCAGGGAAAGCCATGTAGTCCACATATACAATCAAAATACAAGGGTGGGTGAGTTTGTCTTTGAATTTTAGTGGTCTAAGAAAGGAGTCCTTGTCTTTGAATTTGCTCAGATTGTCAATGCCAAAGTTACTTGCCAGTCTACTTACCTGAAGCTAAGTATTTAAGATCCATGAACCATTTGTTCCCCAAGAAAAGCTACAAGGATCAAGTTTTATATATAAAATGCAAAGTGGTAAATGGTGTCCCTGGGCTACTGATACTTTCCTCTTGTTACGGTGTTGTGTCTTTAGTGCTACATGAGGGTAGACACCTGATGTATATTTTAGATAGGTGAATTCATATTCAATCACAAAGGGACAGAGAATCCTGTGGAGGACTAGATCTTTTTTAGTACAGAATATCATAGAATATCACGTTAGCCTTCCAGTTACACTTCTCCCTTGATATCCAGTAAAGGACAGACATGACATTTGTTCTGGATATTGTTAATAGATACTACCTTTGCAATGCCAGGTCACCTAGGCATGCTTGCAGTTTAAGATTGTCCAACGTGCATAAATATTTTAAATGCATCAAATATTTCTAAGAATTGTCAAAATCCAGTATCGCTTCTTCAGTCTCCTTGTGGAAGACAATTCCAGGCAAGATATTGGTGTGGTGTAAATATCCTGTTTTCTTTGACTCCTCCCCTTTCTTCTTCAAACATAGTCCCTTCAGAAAACTGATTATTTATTTCCTGAAGAACAAGTTTCCCTACCAAGAAAAGTCATTTAGTCAAATGTAACATTCCAGAAATAATATTTTGAAAGCTGACCCTATGTTATGAAAGAGTCCTTTACAATGTTGCCAAGAGTTCCTTTCCCTGGTCACATTTTTAAAATAACTTCCTAAAGATGCATATTTTATTTGTTATGGGTGTTAAATGTGTTTTAAAGCTAATATGCAATTCAGCAGTCCTGCACATTTCCATAGTTCACTGAAAGCAGCCATCTGATCGTCTGTTTTTTCTGGGAAGACCAGCAGTACCACTCAGTATCGGAATTAATATCAGTTTGTTTCTATTAATGTTTTGCCTAATAGACAGATTAGCATGGCAGCCTAAGCATGTTTATGCAGAAATAAATCTAGCTCTATTCAGCAAGATTTTCTCCTGTGTAAGCAGGTTTAAGATTGCATTTTATATTCTCCGTAAGAGCTATAGAAATGTTAGAAAGACTTCACTAGAGATAATTATTTATTTTCAAAGAACAGGCTTATTCATCTAAGCATAGTTTTAACTCATCAGTTCCTTATAGCAGACCATGTCTAGTTCCCATCTTACTTTTGGCTGGGATAAAATCACTTCGACTACAAAACTTTTCCATTCTGAATATTTAATGTTAACCTATTGCTGAGCTGTGACACAAGTATGTATAACTTTGGTTGACAGTGGGTTTCTTTCATGTGGGACTGTCACCTCTCACCATTTCTGGGTGCATTTAAATACAATGTTTATATGGCAGAATTCTGAGAAGTGGACCTTGCAGAGCATTTTGAGCAGCACTGTTTACCATATGTGTGTTTTATCTCTTTCAGCCTACAGTACCACAGATATTCTTTTTGAATAATTGTGCTACATTTTGCCTCAGAAGCAAAATGCCTTTTGTTTGTGCTTGTTGATGTCATGGAACAGGGGGTCATTTTCTGTACATCTGTGTAAACTTTGAGGATTTCATAGGAAAAACAATGTCATTGATAAGCATTTGGTTTAGTACTAAATCTGTATATTTATAACTATATGTGTCTCCTATTGTACTTGCTAGACATGTTCATATCTTGTCCATTAAGCAGATAAAAACATTGCATTACAGCTGAATGCAGTACAGTAATTTGTTCCCCATTGTATGATCAGATGTCTGGAAGTGTTTGGAGATGCTCTGCTTAATTCTAATATATTCTTGTCTATTGTTTTAGGTATGTCTGGTGTGACTGGGCCTATTCTGAGAGAGACCTCCTTCATTAATCGCAGCTTGTCTGCTCTAGCAGATGTGCTTGGAGCCATTTCAGAACAACGATCTCATGTTCCATATCGAAACAGCAAACTTACACATTTACTTCAGGACTCCATAGGTGACTATAGCTTGTAGTAGTAAAACAAAGTTGGTTTCACTGTTTAGCTATCTTCTGCCTTTAAAGAAAAACAATTTTATCTTTGAATGCAATTTGTACATGGCTTGTAAAATGAGTAACTATGAGGATCTGTGAATTCAGGAAGCATAGTTCATAAAATTAACAGGACTGTCAATCAAAAACCTTTTGTTCCATGTGAGAACATGCAGAAAGGTTGCCCCTCATTGGTTCATTTTTCTCCTTACGTATTGGGAATTCATGAACATTAGCAGATCTGTGGCAACCAGAAATTCAAAAAGTGGAAATTTTTCCATCAGATCATTGTGTCATACTGAGAAAATTTCTGCCTGCTGTGCTACTGCTGAAATCATGGTGGTCCTCTTCCCGGATTGTTAAGACCCATAACACTGTATGGCTGTTTCTCTTTTCTCTATCTCACTCTCTTATATTCATTTAAAAAATGATTCTGGTATTCAGAAATCCTCAACAATATAGTATTAAGTACTGACAAGAGGATAAAAATACATTTTAAATTTACAGTCCCTTTTAAGGAACTGAGACAACCTAAAATGATGCTTGTATGAATGCCTAACCAGATATTTCTCTCACATGTAAATATTATTTAATGTTTCTAAAGACAGTTAACTTTCCTGGCCTTGATTCTGCAGAATGTGGCCATTTGTTTGTATATAGATGTAGAAAAAAAGTAAAGTTCAGTCCATAAAGAAGTTCTGCTGCACATCCCACTACAATGACTGGAAGCTGTGCATCAGCACATTATTAGAAACTGGGATAATTGGGAAGAGAATTACAAATCATGTTATGGTCTTCAGCCATGGGAAAAGGAGAGTTTTTGCCTCCCTTTAAATGTTATAACTAGGAAATCTGAATGCCAATTGTGCTTTTTTCCTGGTCTCATAGTATTGTTTTGCATATGTTCCTTGACATCTGAGCGTTCAGCCTGGAGGCAGGCGGTGCATCATGGCCTCTCCCAATTTGAAGAGACGCTTGTCCAGCAGGCTGAGGCAAAGAGGCAGTTATGAAAGGAGCAAAATCAGGGAGCTGGGCAGGGGACAGATTGGATTTGTCTTCAGTGTGGAAGGGATTGTCACTCTCAAATTGGCCTTCTCAGCCACACTAGACGCTGTTCCAAGTCCTCCATACAGAGCACGTTACCATAGTCTCTGGAGACTGAAGGATGCCTATGATAATGTTCCTTGAAGACAAAGGAAGTATTTCAGTATACAGTATTTTATGTTCAGTTCCCATTTCCCACCCATGTTCTGTAAAACCAATCCTAGTTAAGGAACAACAGACCTTTGGGTAGAGTGGGCGGCATATAAATTAAATAAATAAATAAATAAAATAACTCTCCAATTCCACTTAGGTGTAAAACTTTTCCCACCCATGTTCTGTAAAACCAATCCTAACTCTGCAATTCCACTTGGGTGTAAAACTTTCACCACGAGGTTTTGGGGGCATAATCTTGGCACTCTTTAGCCAAAGGCATTGGGTATTTACAATTTTGTTATGGTCAGTTCTCATTCTAGGACTACCTGACCTATGAAAATTTATTTATTGTTCATTTTTCTTAGGAGGTGATGCAAAGTTGCTGCTGGTGTTGTGTGTTTCCCCCAGCCAGAAGTACTTAACGGAGTCACTGCAAACTCTTGGATTTGGATCTCGTGCATGTCAAGTTCAGAGAGGACAACCCAAGAAAAGAAATCAGCTGGTGCTGAGCAAATCTAAATAAGATATAATATTACTGTGGATTAAAGCATTATTAATGAGTTCCTCAAGCTAAATTGGCTCTTGTCATAAAAATGTAAACTACCAGTTAAAATAAGCAGTTCTTAATGCAGTATTGGCAAGCTGTACACTTACTGAGCAATATCTTTCTTCCAAGAATAACTGCACATATCAACAAAGATATAACATATAGGTCCTTGAGTTTACTTGTTCTTCTTTTGAGGAAGAATAGTGGGATGATAGTCTTCTAGGATGCAAATCTTTCAGGATAGCAAAAGGAAACCCCTTCTCCCAATGAGATCTCAATGCTGCTAGTTATGAAATCTGAGCAATGGGACTGTTCCAGACACTTCTGTAATACATAGTGGTATCCTGCATCCTTGCCAGTGATGCCATCACCCTTCTGCAGGCTTAAGTTATGTCACAAGATTTCAGTGAATAAAACAATAATAAAAACTTAATAGAAAAGCAGTAAGGATAAAAGTGAAAAGCATGAGATTAAAATAATTATTTCTCATTTAATTAATTAGATTAAAACAGTTAAAATACCTGGTAGAATAAAAAGTATCTTTGCCTAAAAGACTCCAGGGTAAATATCAGGCAGGCCTATAAGTAGGAATTCACCCACTAAGCTGTAGCTAAATTATTATTGACTTTGGGAAGTGACATCCTGAAAAGATTTTCTTCTTTAACAAGGTTCCTGTCACTTACATGTGTAATCATAGGAATGCTTATTTGAAAATAAGAAAAGATGGCCAGAATCATATTTCTTGTCCAGGGCAGTGTAAATGCAATGGCATAAACTGCAGTAGCAAATTGCCACTAATTAAAAGGTCACCACTTGTATTCCTATCACATGCCACTTGCTTCATTTGGCATACATTGAGGAACAGACGTGGCAAGTCATTAACTAGCAGCATTTTGCTGCTTTGATTTGTGCCTCTACACTTACCCAGTGTGAATAACCAATAGGATTCTGGCTATTAAAGAAAGTGAGATGTACTTCTCAGTAAATATGCAGAAACCCATAAGAGATTTGTACTTTGGACCTCCTGTGACTAAACCAAAATAAAATAAATTCTACTAAATAAACCAGTATATGAAAGTTTGTTTGTTTTGTAAGTGATATAGAATTCAGTTTTCCAAGATTTTGAACATACAGAGTTAAAGGAAGGCTTTTGACCTACTGTTTGGCCTACTGTTAATATTTCTCCAGGTGAAGGTAGATGCTACCTGCCAAATGCCTGGAGCACAGAATAAGGGAACAAACAATTTGGTACATTTTGTGGATAACAGATCTATAAATAGTTATGGCCTGGGCTTTACAATAATGTGACACTAATAGGGTTTGTAAAATAGAGCAGTATTTACTTACTTATTTACTTACTGTACTTATTTAACTTTTATACTGCCCATCTGGATGCAAGGCCACTCTGGGCGGTTTACAGCATACAGTACTAAAACAATAACACCAAAAATACCAAACATAATGGTTATACAACAATCAAAATAAAACTTATAGTATACAGTCAGTAATATATAAAAAAGAGAGATCAGAATAAACCTAAATATAATTAATTAAACAGTAGGGAATGAGCCCTAATAACCCACTGTATATCCAGAGGGGGCGAGTATAGAATCTGGTGGATGGAAAACATGTATTGAATGGAGGTAGGACTTGGGCCAAAATAAAGTAGCATGGGGAGATTTGTGTGTGAATGTGTGTTTTGGAGCCTGCTGATGGAGAAAATTCCAGCTGGCTAAATATGCTGAAAGGTATCTGATCTCACTTTTTGCTTAATTTTTTGGTGGTCTAAATATAAGTATCACCTATTCCTGCATTGGTATGCTCAGTTCGTATATAGTAACTGTTATTCCAAACCTGATTATTTCAATGTTCTGAAAACCCTCTAGTCATTCAGCTGCCCTAAGCAGAGGGCATCTAGTTCCCAGCCTTGGGTAACCCAGGGGTTCTTGCACTGCAGCTCCCAAGAAGCGTTCACCATTATCTGTGCTGGCTGGGGTTTCTAGCAGTTTCAGTCCAAGTATACCTGGGTTATCCTAGGTTGGGAACAACTGGTCTAGACATATTGTTAATCTCAAATGTGCAGCAGCTGTATTTTGTGCAGAAAATCAGAGATGGAGATTAGTTCCTTAAACACCCACATGCTGCTCAGACACTGCAATTATGTGAGTCTATCACCCTGTTAAAACTAAAGTAAGAAAATCTGTTCTGTAATTAGAAGCCCTGTTTTTTTACCTCTCCTTGGCAGTTGGCACAGACAAATAAACATTTAGCTCTTTTTTTCCAAACAGAGAGGAAATAATTAAAGTTTAGCTTGAAAAGAGAGAATTTTCTTCTCCCCCAAGTTTCTGAAAGACTCACATTTGACTATAGTTTCTTATATGCAATTTTGTTTTATCGAGTTTCCTTAATCTGATATAAGTATATAACTTCCTTCTGAATAAGCAAAATTGAATGCAGGCTAGTAGAAGTTGCTTCATGACATAATATTTTTCTCCCTATAGACAGTTCTGGCCCTTCTCAGGAATACATTGGAAGGGTAAAAAATTGCTGTTGTCTTTGATATATTATGTGTTTATTTATTTATTTATGATATTTATATCATAAGATCTCAGGAGAGACTACAACCAAGGAAATTTAAAACAAATGAAAATAGTTTAGAACATTAAAAAAAACCAATTTAAAAAATTCAAAACATCTTACATATGTGTCTGATGGGACTGAGTTCACTTTTTTGCATTTGTCTACATGACAGTGTGAATTGTATAAACCTGTTCTACGTGAACAAATAGCCTTGATATTTATGCAATATAAAATTCGTCCCTCTAGAATCAGAATATATGATCCTCTAATCACACAAGAAAATTTAAGTGTTACTGATACCCATCCACGTTATTGGTATATTTATTTTACACACAGCCTGTCCTCTTTCCAACCCTACAAAGTAGACTGGAAATGATGACTGACCCAAGCTGAGCTATACAGCTGTGCCTGATTTGATCCCAGTTGTCCTTGATCTAAGGCTACCATTTCATTCTTTTATCCTAACAATAGAATGTGTGAACTTGATCCCATCCTGGTGAGCTCTACTTCTGTAGCACTGTCCAAGGAACTAACCATTGCATCCTCCTTTAAGGACCTTCCCTATTGAGCAGAAGGGAAGTCAAAGACAACACAAATTTACAGTTGGACAAAATAGGTAATCTGCCTAGGCTCTGTCTGGCACCTTTGTTGTACATGGTGACTTAGGGCATGGTATGCAGATAATAGGACAGCAAGAAAATAAATCTGAGCAATGTTAAAGATTAAGAATGATTCAGTGTTATTCAGTGGGGTTTTAATAATATCTCATTTGCTTAATGTGCAGTTTTAATACTCTGGAGGCGCATGATTCACTATGGTTTTCTTTTGTGATCCCAGCTCCACCAGATGCAAGAGGGAGTTCATTGGTAGGTCTCTCCAAGGAGATTTAAGTTGCAGTTTGCCCATCCAGAAGTCTGTTGCTTGCAGCAGTCCAAGTCTCTTAACCTTCCTGAGCATAAATATTTACCCAGAAATTGTATAGCATGCTCCAATTGGAATTTCACCCTTCAACATGTACCAGCTGCTGCATTATGCAAGGAGCTGTATGTGGTATGGTCTCTGACCTTTTGGAATGTTCAAATTACAATGACATGACTGTGCACTGCAGTGGTAAGGAATGGCCATACATCTTGCCTCTCCCCTAAAATTAAAGTATGCTGTACTTGCAAACAGGGAAATTTTGTGTACACACTGTCTGAAGAGGTTATGGGAGAATTATAACCTTTTACATACATGAGAAGACACCAGATAGTTGTGCATGCTTAGAATTGGAGGAGAAATAGGCAACATTTCAGATCCTTTCTAGGTAGAACAGGGGTAGGCATGTTTCTCTACTTGGAGTGTACTTTCATTCAACAGAGGTACACCATATATTTTGTGTGCTCCTATAAGCTTATTGTGTCAATCAGCACTGTTACTTCTAGCTGTAACAGTTCAAGAGAAAAGTTTCATTATACACTGTCTCCTTAAATGTCTGGAGGTTTATGACAGTCTGCCATTATTCCTAATTCACACTCTGAACTGCTAAAATGACTGCTTTGCAGGGTGGGAGTGGAGAATACACAAAGAGATACAACAACTCTCTGTGCTGGATGTCTGTCTCAGTTTGGCTGTGTGCAGCTTTGATATCTTGGTGTGAACAACCAAATAAGATGAATGCCCTCTCCCATATGCCACCTAGCCCTTTTAACCATGTCAGCTGTGCACCTGTTTTTGTCCTGGGATAAAAGGCTTAGACTTTTTTCCAACTAGATCATTACCTACAGCATTTGTTCTGCTTCACCTATTTCATTTTGTAATGTGACTGGAAAAACTACCATGTCTGCAAACTGGACAAGATTTTTTTTGGATTGACAACAGGCCATCATTTTGCCTCCTCTATTCGTGATTATATTGGATCAAACTGATAGCTCAACTAGAGGAGATCTACTGAATCAATTGTTCAATTGAGAACCATCATCTGTAGAGACCCCATTCATTCAATGAGTCTACTCTAGTTGGAATAGCAACAGGATTCAAGTCATTTCCTTGAGAAGATTCCAGTGGTTCTTGTGGAGAGTAAACTAACTTCCATTGTTGTGAGGCAGTGCTTGATGGATCCTCACCTGATGGAGGTGGAGGCGGGACTTTGTAATATCTACCAGAGCAGGAAAGCATTGTGCTGGGAGACATCTGCTCATTTAACATCATTGCCACCACTTGCCACGAAGAACTGTGGCCTGCTGGACACCCCCCTCCTGCAGGACTAGGTTGTCCATTTGCTAACCTATGAGACAACTGTTTTGCAGCCCTAGTGTCCACCTGCTTTTCCCCCAGATTGTTTTTATCCACAGTTTCAAAATATTATGTTTTTAATTTGAAAAAAAAAATGTTATAGCTTAATGGCTGAAAATCTGTTGCTTAGCAAAAGCCAAATTGTAACTATCAGTCTGTTTCTTCCTAGTAAACAAACTGACCCTGCTATGATTCTCGAGGGCGCATGCACACACTGGCTTGATGCATCTGTGTGCACGCCTCAAAAATTGAATCAGGGACAGTTTGTTTGTCAAGGAGGAAGGGACCAAGAGTTGATTTGGCTTACACTAAGCAACAGGATTTCAGCTATTATTTTTATTACTGAGCTTGTTTAAACTATTCGGAATTGCCAGAGGGGCTTAGTCTAGATTGAAGTCCCATTACCTTAAGAAAAACAGTGGGTTAACTGTATATCATCCTTAGGAATATTTATGGAAATTTTGAGATGTGCTGGACCCAATCAGAAATAGTGTTCAAGCAAAACAAGCCACATTATGAACAGTGAGGTGCTAGTACAGGCTCTTCTCTAGAACAAAGAAAGCAAGCTTGTGCAATTAAGTGAGGACTTAGTTTGAGAAACAGAGGTGTACCCCATTATATGGCACACACTGTCAAAATTATCAGTCCCAAAGTTCCTTGTACAGTGGACCCTTGACTTACAGACTTTTTGAGTTAGAGACTTCTCTGGCTGCAAAATTTAGGTTTGACTTGCAGCCTGAGAATTGACTTACAGACCAGAAAAAAACCAAAATGGAACAAAAACGGCCTGTTACGGGATTAATCGGTTTTCAATGCACTGTAGGTCAATGGAGACTTGACATACAGACTTTTTGACCTGCAGCCACCATTCCAATACGGATTAATTCCGTAAATCAAGGGTCCACTGTATATGGATAGGTTGGATGACAATGCATCACAGTGTGAAACATTGATCCAAGGAACAGTGGGAGCCAGTGCTACAAATCCAGTTTGCAAGGTTAAACCCATATGCATGTACAGTCACGGCCAAAAATATTGGCAACCTTGCAATTCTGTCAGAAAATGCAACCCTTCTCTCAGAAAATTGTTGCAGTTGCAAATGTTTTGGTACTCATGTGTTCCTTTCTTTGGTTTTTGTTGGAACAACACACAAACACGCACACAAAACAGAGAAGAAAAGTTAAATCTGATACAATTCCACACAGAAACCCAAAAATGAACTCGCCAAAATTATTGGCACCCTGTCTAAATTGTAAGAAATAATTGTTTTTCAAGCATGTGATGCTCCTTTAATTTGTATTTAGACACACCTGTTACAAGTAATCAGAGTTCCAACCAGTTAAGATGGAGAAAAGTTGACTCAACCTTTGTGCTGTGTGTGACACTTAGCATGGAGAAAAGAATGAAGTGTAAAGAGTTGTCTATGGATTTGAAAGAAAAAATGGTGGAAAAACAGCGACAATCTCAAGGCTATAATTTCATCTCCAGAGTTCTTAATGTTCCCGTGTCCACTGTGCGCAATATCATCAAGAGGTTTACAGTACATGGCACTGTAGCTAACCCCCCTGGACGTGGACGGAAGAGCAAAATTACTAAAAAAATTACAACAAAGGGTTGTTCGAATGGTGGCTACAGGACCCAGAATAACTTCCCAACAAATTCAAGCTGATCTGCAGACACAGAGTACAACAGTGTCAGTTTGCACTATCTGTTGCCATCTGAATGAAAAGGGACACTATGGTAGGAGACCCAGGAGGACACCACTGCTGAGAAAAAGACATAAAAAAGCAAGACTGGAGTATGCCAAGACCTAACCTGAAAATAAGTCATAGTATAATTTTTCAGGATGGTCATAATATAAGCCCTACCCCCAAAATAAGCCCCAGTAAAGTGAAACCCCTCCCTCCACCATTGTGCAGCAACCAGAAGATGATCACATGACTGTATTTGAATAAATGTAGATTGTTGTACACGGAAAAAAACATCCCCCCGAAAATAAGCCCTAATGCGTTTTTTGAAGCAAAAATTAATATAAGACCCTGTCTTATTTTTGGGGAAACACCGTAGTTGTCTTTCACACACACACATATGCCAGCACATAGCATTCTGCTAGGGGTGGTTATAAATACAAACAAGGCAGCCAGAAGTGAAGAAAGTGAAATAAAAGACACTAAAAGATACTGCTCCTTAAGTTTGCAAACCAGACAAAGCCTACAGTCCTATTGAAGTAGTACATTTAAATTACAAAAAATGGGGAATGGGAATATTCAGTTAAAAAAAATTGCCAGAACTTTCTTCAGGCTGAATACTATACTAAATAAAAATATCAAGCATGCTATGGCTCTGAGAGCCTCTAACAGAAATAGCTAATGGGGGACACAATGTATTTCAGAAATATTTTTTTAAAAAAATTATTACAGAAATAAATAGA